TTCGACGTCTTTCGTTACGTGATCGAAGTGGGTTGGCACCTGCAAGGATCGAAGCACAGAAAGAGGGTGCTGACATTATACGGTTGGTTTTTTCAGTGGTATATGGTTGTTTCTGGGCAATTCCAACTGTTTCTAGACTGTTAATTCCGGCTGGATAGAAAGCTTCCATTTTTTTATAATTTATTTCTCTCCGCTGCAGGTCTTGGTCAAAGGAAGACGTCTCATCAGATGTCAACACAATGCCACCACCGTTGCACGGCAATCGCGACTCTCCCAACAAACGAGTTCTTAAAGTACGTGCCATTCATATCTTTGTATTATTCACTCACTTGTTCAATCCTACATCTTGTGGGCGAAGTTCGACTATGAGAGGGGGGGGGGTGTGTTTTGCACTTTTGCTACTACCTATCCACGTGTCGAGCCATCTGCAGAGCTATTTCAAGAACTTACAAGAGTTGAGAGGATTTATAGCTATGGCTCGATGAGCTTGCTCCAGGATCACAAGAGTTCACAGGCTTCAGGGTGAGACCTGTGAACCAGAACTAGTGACGCAAAAGTGCAAAATGCCCCCCCCCCTCCCGTCGCCGAACTGCGCCCGATTTTGAATTGTTTTTTGTATGGAGCGAGGAGGAGGTTTGTCGTTTTGCAGCAGAGCAATAAACCGAAGCCGATGAGCCCTGATGAGTGGCTGCGAAAGTTGGAGACGGGTGGAGACGAGGATGATGAAGGCACTCCAAGACGAGGTGGTAGCCAACGACGACGACCGAAAAAAGGCGGAAAAGGTGAGCACCACTCTCATTCGTCACGCTTCTACCCGACAATTTTAGCTTCTCGGCTTCAAGTTCCACTCTGTTAGCTAGAAATGTTGGGATCGCCAATTTCCTGCTTGCGATTTTGGGTGATGTGAATATTAAAGAAAGCAAAGGGGGATAGTAACGGTTTGGTCGTTCCGTATCTACGCTTCATTGTCCTTCAGAAATGAAACAAAAGTTCCAAACGGCGGGGGGGGTGGTGTTGACGGCGCGGTCCAAGTTGTGCGCTAGTCAGCTGATGAGACAGCTTTTTGGCGTCAGAAATGGTGCTATGGCAGCATACATCGTATGCTATTGATTTCACAGCCCGTATTTCAAGAAAGTTGGGCGACCGATGAATTACGTTCTTTATTCAAAGTCACGGCCGAAGATCACCTATAAATACCTGAGCTTCTCGAAGGGGAAGACAGTGGAAATCGCAGCGAACAACCCTCTATAAGTCTAGCGTCAGAAAAATGTAAGGTAGCGGTGGTAAGGCACAAGGTTGTACAAGTGACTCCGCCAATAAGTCAGTGACTCCGCCCTCGTTAATAGATGTCTTGTCGGTTGTCGCTCTCATCTGCGTGCTCTCTCGTCGCTCTTGTCTGGCCTCTCGCCCGAGAACCACATCGATTTTTGTCTTTCGCTTAGCACAGAGAAAGCCTGCTTTCGACTGTTCCGTTGGTTTTTTTTTTATTTAGGAGCAGTCCATGAGCGCTTAAACTATCTCTAACCCCGATACCAAGAAACTTTTCGCTTGCTCATAGCGAATCCTGCCTTCAAGCTTTCAAGGGTCATTGTCAGGTCACGTTCAATATCCAGCGCTTCCTAGGCGCTAGCGCTAACATGGTTTGGAGGGGGGGGGAATGGGGAGAGATGAGAATACCTTCCCATCCGCTGACCAAGGCTCATGCTCAGAGCGCAGACGACCAGAGTCACCGAGAGATGTACCCGCTGGAGGGGGTCTACCATGGGGGTGTACCAGGTGATGGCACGTTTCCTTCTACTGCACGCTCTTAGGGGCGCCAAAAGTACAAACAGGTTGACGGTTCGAGTCTTCGAGGTATCTGTGGTTTCGCTTTCTATAAGTGGAAAAGACTGTCTTCTTTACGAGGCTATTCTCGGTGACTCTGGTCATCTGCGCTCTGAGCCTAAGCCTCGGTTTGGAGAAGGGACACAGACGCGAACGAGTGCCTGCTCTAAGCAGGTTGGCACAGGCGCAGTTTGTCGACGGGGGGCATTCTGCTTTCCATAGATGTGCCGACCCATCTAGGTAGCCTTTTCTCGAGTTGACACGTTTTAGGATGGTGGCTAGACGATCTTGCACCAGCTTCACAAGGGTTCACAAGTTTTACC